TGCAAGTAGAAATGACTGACGTTCATCCGGTTCTCTAAGAGCCAGGCACCAAGAGCCTTTCACAGCCTGTCTTGTGCCACCCGAACAGCCATCATCATCCCCACGTCACAGATGAGGAGAGTGAGGCTCCCAGGTTCAGTGACCTGCAGGAGGTCCCATAGTGGGCATTGGTGGTGTGAGGATTGGCGTAAGGGGAGTCAGGCTGCTGTGTCTGTGGTGTCTGTCTGGGTCTTGGTTGGTCACTGCCTCTGCTGTGAAGGAAGGGAGGGGCCTAAAGGTACAAAGGACAAGTGACATGGGCCATGAGCAGAACCACAGGGCCTGGGATCTGTGGCCAGCACCCTACCCCAGCAGGTCCTTGGAAGGAGAGTCCCCTCCTGTCTTGGGATCCTGTCTCTCCATGGCAGTGTTGAGAGTTGTTTGTCAAAAGAGGGAGGTGAGCAAGCCAGGAGCATGATGGCGATGCTCTCTCCGACCTCCTATATCTGTCCCACTTCACCCCAGACAAACCCAGCCAGGATCTGGCCGGAAAGATGGAAATGGTGCCTTCTGCCTGAGAAACAAGGAAACCTCAGGCTCCCTGCTGATGACTTATATTGTTGGCAGAATTACTGAAAGCAAAAAAGACAGTGAATCCTTGGAGCCGGTGACTGAAGAATGGATGACAAAATGAGTGTCTTTCTCTTTAGTCAAGTCCCTATGCCCGACTTTGAATCAGTCTTGATTCGCCTCCTCCTTCATGACTGAGCACCTCTTACGGGCAAAGCACTGTGCTAGGCACTTCGGGCCCAGTGGCAAATACATGAGATGAGACCCCTGCCAGTGCTGGCCCTGAGTCTAGTGGGGCACAGAGGGGTTGGTAAGGGCTCTTATGTTAAAAGTGACAGAAAGCCTAGGTGTGGTGGCTCATGCCTGTAATCTTAGCACTTTGGGAGGCCGAGGTGGGAGGATTGCTTGAGCCCAGGAGTTCGAGACCAGTGTGGGGAACATAGGGAGACCCCCATGTGTACACACACACAAAAAAAATCCAGGCATGGTGGCACACATCTGTGGTCCCAGCTACTTGGGAGGCTGAGGCAGGAGGGTCACTTAAGCCCATGAGGTCAAGGCTGCAGTAAACAGTGATCGTGACACCATACTCCAGCCTATGTGACAGAGGAAAACCCTGTCTCAAAAATACATAAATAAAATCAAAAATGACAAAATCATCTTAAACTAGCTGTAGCAAAGAAAAGGCACAGTGGGGGTGGCAGGTGGGAGGCTGGCTTCAACAGGCCTGCTTCCAGGTGCTCAAACAGGTGTCTCTCTCCCTCTCTTGGGACTGCCCTACTCAGCCCTTGCTGCATTCATGGACAGGCCTTCCCTTACTCTGTGGTGTGGACGTGATCGCTGGCAGCTGCTGTGCATTGTCCCCTTTGCTCTCCACCCTAGAGAAAGTGTGTGGCCATCATATCAAGCACCAGCATGTGTGGTGACCATTAAATATACCCCATGGCCCTGCCCTATACCAGCTTCAGAGCCCAGGACATTGGGTGCTCCAGCTGGCCATCCTGGGTCACAGGCCCCAGGTGGAGCAGTTGGGAGGACAGTCCCCAATAGGGAGAAGGTGCACTGATAGGCAAAAACAACAGATGCCCATGACAGGGAGGCTAGACCTGGGATGTAATCCTGTGAATAATTAATATTGCACTTCTGGTAAAAGCAATGAAGCAAGGTGCCATGTGTAAGTATAAAAGGTTAAGAAGCCCCTGAGGAGGTGGCTCTTAAGGGGACCTGAAGGATGAGTAGGAGGTAGGCAGGCAGAGGGAGGAGTCTATGGGAGGACTCAATGGGTGTGATGAGCAAGAGGTGAGTGGGTTGAGGTAAGGGTGGAGGATTGCTCAGGGCCCTTGGTGAGGCCAGAGGACATTCTGAAGTGATGGGCGTGGCCTGCACTAGGGTGCTCCTAAAGGACCCAGGGTTGAAGCCGCTTCAGCTGAACAGATGTTTGTCTTCCTGAGGGTAGTTCACATTGTGAGTCGGCCACCAGCATCATGTCCTGGCCAGGGAAGCCATGGAGTCAACCCACTGACCAAACCCTCCAGACATCCCGGGTATATGAGGGCATCTTGAACACCTCAAGCTTCCCGACATATCAGGGTCACCCTGGTCCCTCAGGAATCTTCAGGCTGATGGCCAGCATAATTGGGGCCAAAGAAACCAGAGGTCACAGCGAAGAGTAGGATTTGGAAATTTGTCATCCACCTGCATAAAGTTAGGTGCCTCTGCCAGGCAGAGCTGAACACACAGCCTCATTAGCTAATGCGAGTTTAATATGAAGACAAGGAGCTGGATGCCGGCCTGGTCAGCTGCCCAGGAGACATTCAGAAATAGAGCATGGTTAAGGTGTCCTACCTGTTCAGCGCCACTGCACCACCTGGAATGCAGGGGGCAGCCCAACAGCAACCTGGGCAATATCTGCCAGACAAAAGCATCACTTCCACATCAATCACTTTGTATAAAGGAAGAGTTATTGTTATGGGATGCTGGCGCCTGATCAATATCTCCTGCTTTGAAAATAAACTTCTTGGCTTGGCCTTGACATTAATCTGCCATCAGGAGCCCATTATCTCGAGACCAATGTTCTGTTCTATTGACTCGCTGGACTTTTTTTTCTCCCCCAAGATCAGAATATAATTGCATTTCTCCAGGCAGCACTTCCACTAATTGCAGCCCGGTGCATATCCCCTCTCGGGAGGGCCAGAGTACATCTGGGCTGGGGATGGAGTAGCAGGAAGTACTGGGAGACAAAGGACCTTTTAGGAGCCAGTGGAAGAGCAGCCCTTCTAGAGCCCCTGAATTAATGAAGATGTGAAGCCCAATCCCCACAACCTCATCAAGCAGTTCCAACTGAAAAGAACACTTTTGCACAGAATCTGGGTTGCAGATGTCCCCATTCCACAAATGAGAGAATATGGTAGCAAGATTAATAATAATATCCTGAATCCAGCTGTGTCCCCACCATTGCTGCAGCGCCCCTCACCCAGCGCCAGGACAGCTTCGTATCAGAACAGCTTCAAGAGACTCCCAGGCCTGCCACTTCAGGCCCTTCTCCACCCCACAGGCAGAGCCATCTTTGTAAGATGTAACTGGGTTGTGTGTCTCCCTCTCTGAAGACCAGTGAAGACTCCTTGTTCTGCCAGTGAGGCCCCTGCTGCCTCTCTGGCCTCCCCTCCCATCTGTCTTCCCCTTTCTCCCTCTGCTCCTGCCTGGCTCTCTTTTTGATTACACCAAGCTTGGCCCTGCCAAAATCCTTTGTGCTTTCTCTTCTCTCACCTGTTCTCTCGCCTTTACTTTTACCTGCTCGGTTCTACCTCAAACATCCCCTCCGAAGTGAGGCTTTCCCTGACTGGGGAGCATAAAGTAGCATGCCTCACATCCCATACACCCCCACAATGAGTCTATGCAATGGCCCTGCTCTGCCATCGCCACCTGAAACCATCTCCCATGTTAGCTACCTGTGCCAGAATCCATCTTAACGCAACACACAGTTAATGACAGCCAGGCTTCACTAGGCCAGGGATTTAGGGGTGGCTTTGTTGGATAGCTCCACCTTGGGTCTCACATAGGGAAACAGTCAGGCTATGAGCCAGGGCCGCAGTCATCTGCAGGCTTGACTGTGGCCACCACTTCCGCTTCTCAGGTGGCTCACTGACCTGGTTGGCAAGTTAGTGCTGTGGGCAGGAGGCCTCAGCTCTCACTTCATAGACCTCTCCATAGCACAACTTGGGTGTCCTCAAATACAGCAGCTGGCTCCCCCAAAGCCAGTAGTCCCACCGGGAAAGGTAGAAGCCATGGCACCTTCATGACCATCATTTCTGCAGTATCCTGTGGGTTACACAGGTCAGTCCTCATGTGACTCAATGGGAGGCATCTACACAGGGGCACAAATACTAGGAGGCAGGGAGTGTGAGGCCACCTCGGAGGCTGGGGTCTCGGCTGACGGATTCACTGCTGTGTCCTGAGTATGCACCAGGTCTTGTGCTAAGCCCTTTTACACACAGTATCTCATCTTCCAGTCCTGCCTCCTCTATTCCCTTACAGGAAACTGAGTCCCAGAGAAGTTAAGTACCTTAAGTCATAAAATGGGTAAGTGGCTAAGCCAGAATTTGAACCCAGGCCTGCCAAGGAGGGTCTGTGTAGGCTGGGCCCCTCAGTGGGTGTGAGTCAGTATTGACTGTACATGTTAAGATTTCCAAATTGCTGTCAGACCAACAGGCAAACTTAGGAGCTCTCTGTGATGTCAGATACTCCTCCCTGGGAGAGGGACACAAGGAGAACCATCAGATCCCACACTGTGGCAAGACCCAGCTGCACGGCCTAGCAAGCCAGACTCAGAGAAGGCAAGGCAGGGAGGCTGACCGAACTGCTCAGGAAGACCCAGCCAGAGGCTCAGATCCAGGAGGAAAACAAATGCGCATCTGTAAATCTGTGGAACCTGTGTGCCCCCTTGACTCCTCATACTGTGGCTGATACCACTTTGTGATCACCATGGTCTTTCTCACTGATCCTCCAGTGCCACCCTAGAATTCTCAACACACCACTCCATAGTGGATTAGAGCTCAGACTCTGGAGTCAGCTAAAACAGGGTTTAAATTCTGGCTCCATCACTTACTCTGTGACCCTAGACACATTTCTTAGCCTCTCTGAGCCTCCGTTGCAGCATCGGTAAGATGGAGCTGTTACTACCTACTTTATAGGTCTTCTGATGAGGCTTAAGTGTGGTTGTGCATGTGACCATCTTAGCATAGCATTTGGCAATGGTAAGCAGTCAGTGCTGTCAGCTGTTTGTACTGCCGTTACTATATTACTGCGTTTCCCCACATCATTAGCTCTGTGATCCAGGCTTCAGCAGACAGTCCAGGCTGATGCTTTTGCTGAGTGCACTAAGGGGTGCTGGCCTGATGGGATGGTGAACTGGAAGCAGAAACGTCATCATCTCTCCCTTTCTTGCCACACAGGTGTGGATGTGTGGGGGCCGCATGGAGGACATCCCCTGCTCCAGGGTGGGCCATATCTACAGGAAGTATGTGCCCTACAAGGTCCCTGCCGGAGTCAGCCTGGCCCGGGTAAGGTGGTGGCTTTCCTGAGGGGGGAGAAGGGGTTGGCCTAGGACCATCAGCTGCACTGAGGCCTCCTGGGGGCCCTGGACTGTGTTGTGTGATCCCTGGGTTTGAGGATGTGCCCCCATTCTCCAGGTGGAATCCAATTTAAAAGAGCTTCCTTAAATCCTTACCCTTCATTGGCTGTGTGACCTGAACCTTAACTCCTCTGAACCTGTGTTTCCTTCTTTGCTTAAAGATAGCTAATTCTTTCCAACTCTCAGCATTGCCAGGAGAATTCAGGAGATGATACTGTTTCCCAAAGTGTGACAGATGAGATGGTCTTAGGCAGCAGACGCAGGAAGTTTTCTGGTTCATGTGTTTAATGTGGATTCTAAATTAATGTGTATTCGTGTAGCTAACTTGTAATTTCACAGATATTATTAGTGCAAAGCTAGAGCAGGTGCAAAGTTAGACCAGAGGTGATGGAAAGAAACGTTAGGTAAATATTAACACAGGTGGTGTGTTGTGTTGGAAAAGCCTGCGTATTAAGCTTCTGGAGGGGAGGTGGGGTTCATAAATGTCAGTACTGTATCAATCTCTTCTCCCTACCCCTGTCCACTCTCACTGTCAAAACCTCTGCATGTCAAACTGTTTCATTGCCTTAAAATGGTTTGTATCAATCATTGCTTCAATTAAATTGGCCACTGACTGCGAATGGAAATCTGTTAGCCAGAGTTTGTTTTTGTTTTTGATATTAAATGTATTGAAAAACTAAATAAATCCAGGTGACCACAAAAGAAAAACGAAGAGGAGGGAGGGTCCCCAGAGGAGGAAAGAGCCTCCGGGAGGTTTGCAGGGAAGCTGGAAAGGGCCCGGCACAGCCTTCCCTCCGCAGAGCCTGTGAGCCCTGCTGGCCGGGTTGGCTTTAGACCGCACTGCCTCCGTCTGTCCAGGGCACTGCCTCCTCCCTCGTCACCTGACAGTCTTGACGTGCAGAATTGTAGCCCCCGGGGTCCTGGAAGAGCCTTGTCCTGTGACTTACAAGGAAAGCTGAGAGGCTCAAAGAGGCCGCGCGTCCCCCGAGCGCCGTCCGTGCGTGGAAGCTGAGCTCCGGGAAGTGTCAGGGGCCGCGTGGAGGGAAAGGAGAGCCGGCAGTGCCCTCCAGTGGCAGCAGAGCCTAACGACGCCCTCACCAGCCATCCGCGGTACCCACAGCCCCATCCTCCGCGGGGGGTGGGTTCTAGATTCAGCCCCTTGAAGCAGGAATCGCGTTCTTCTAAAGGCCATTCGGCGATCCCTGAGGAAGGTGCCAGGCAGGCAAAGAGCACATGCTTTCTCGGTCCGCCCAAGACTGCGACTCTTCTGGCCACAAGGGACCATGGGGACACTCCGACTCCAGACCAGGAGCAACCCCAAAGCATTCTTTTCCTCTGCAGAGCTGTTATTGATAAGGGCCACCTAAAAATAAAAATAGCCGGGCACGGGGGTGTGTGCCTGTGGTCCCAGCTACTCAGGAGGCTGAGATGGGAAGATCGCTTGGGTCAGGGGGGTCGAGGCTGCAGTGAGCTGTGTGTGCCACTGCACTCCAGCCTGGGTGACAAAAGGAGACCATGTCTCCGAAAAAGTTTTTTGCTTTTGTTTTTTAAAGGCCCACCGGATAAAGAGATACTACCGCCTCCTGCTTTAAAGAACTATTATTATAGATGAATTCAGTGGATAATAGCCAACTGTAGTAACGCTTATAAAAATTCCCTTTGAACCAGGCATGCAAAGCATTTTACTTATCTCGCTTCATTCCCACTTGTTTTTAACCCCATTTTATGGATGAGGAACATGAAACATGTGGTGTTGGCAATAGAAATGTTAAGTAACTAGAACCAGAATTCGGGTCTGACAGGTGCCTGGCACATAGCAATTGTTCCTTAAACAGTGACTGCCATGATTAGTGTCAGCGTCAATATTAACAATAAAGACTGGAACGTGTATTTAAAAGTCTTATCTAAAATCAGTGTTTAGGCATTTTAGCGTGTTTCTCTTTTAGCTGCCTGTACTGAAGCAGCATCCTGTTTTTGGCTTTAAACCACTTAACAATCTGAGTGGTGCCCGTGGCTTCTTCCCCAGGGATCCTGTGATCCATTAGGTCTGATTATGTGTAGGTTTGCAGAACCACAGAGATGCCTGATTCAGGTGTGGCATTTTATTATGGTGACTAACAACCCTCAGTTAGTTGCAGATCACATTTAAAATACTTGCTCAGTGGGCCAGGCGTGGTGGCTTACGCCTGTAATTCCAGCACTTTGGAAGACCAAGGCAGGCAGATCACCTGAGGTCAAGAGTTCAAGACCAGCCTGGCCAACATGGTGAAACCCCATCTCTACTAAAAATGCAAAAATTAGCCAGGCATGGTGGTGCATGCCTTTAATCCCAACTACTAGGGAGGCTGAGGCAAGAGAATCACTTGAACCTGGGAGGTGGAGATTGCAGTGAGTCAGGACTATGCCACTGTACTCCAGCCTGAGTGACAGAGCAAGACTCTGTCTCATATATATATATATATATATATATACACACACACACACACACGCATACACTCAGTGTTTTAACAACAACATCCTAAGCCCTCTGGAGCATGTCTCCTAGTTGATCATCTTGATAGATTTAAGAGTTGTCCCAATAGCTCTGAGGGAGCCAGGCAGAGAAACTGAGACTGTATGAACTCTGGAAGGTCAAACAGCCAGACAGATGTAACTGGGTGTTCCAGGTTCTTGGCATCCCCTGCCTCAGGAATGGGGAAGAGGCCCTGGAGGTGTGGTGGGCTCATTTAAGTAAATATTAGACTCAGTTTTGCAGAAAAGTGATTTATTAGGCAGAGAGAGAGAGAGAGAGAGAAAGAGGAGTAGGGAGAGAGAGAGAGAGGGAGAGAGAGAGAGAGGGAGAGAGAGAGGGAACGCCCACGCTGTCATGGGAGGGGATCCAGAGATGGAGTCCACACAGGTGAGGGGCAGGGGGTCTTTTAATCTGGGAGTTACTTCTGCCCCATGCAAGTTCTTGTCCCATGAGAGGAGTTCCTTCAAACTTCAACTGGAGTGATTTATCTTTGACGTTGACATTGGATTGGCTGCCCGGCCCATAGCTTTTCCTCCCATAGCTTTTCCCGGGCTTTCTAAACAAAGGAAGCTCACCTGGGCAGTCTACCTTTTCCATGTGAGTGAAAGTTACACAAAGAACTCTAGGCTCCCGGATGGAGACGTGAAAGAAGGCAGGTCAGGCATGTCACTGGGAAGTTCTTGCCTTTGAAACTATGCCCCTGTGAACCTGGGAAGAGAAGTTAATACATTGTCTCACAGCCTTGAGGTAGCAGCGGTTTAGGAAGGATGAGCTGTCCACCAGCTTGCCTGCCTTAGGAACAAGTAGCCAGTCTTACATTGTTTACTAAACTTGCTGAAATCTTTCTTATCTCTGCCTCTGGAAAAAGGGAAAGCAGTAACAGAAACTACTCAAACTTGGTGAAACAAAAATGGAGACTGAACTCCAAGGACCCAGGCAAATCTCTATAATCCAAGCAGAAGACGGACAGTTGGGCCTCACACGGGACTGGGACTCAGAAGTAGGGAGGTGTTGAGAGTAGGGGTTTGAGGAGCCCCAAGCCCACTAAAATCCCAAGGCCCTTTTTATGTCTCTGACAAGGGGAGATGTGAGAGAAATATGTGTAAAGTCACTTCCTTTGGTGCAAACAGTGAACTATAGCAAAAAAAGCTCAAAATCTTGGAGAAAGAGCTTATCAAGCTATGTCTGGAAAATACAATTATGCAATATTAATTAAAATAGTAATTAGAATTAAAATACGATGTTATTCAATCCTTTAAGAATAACACTGTAAATTGCAGTATCACTCTTAACCAGTCTGGCCATGGCCAGAGTGGCTGGACTTGTTTTCAGCTGGAGTGAAACTATAGCCGTTCCTCGTTGCCTCTGTGACTGAGCAGGTTAGACTGAGCCAAAAGACCCTGGTGGGCATACTTGAAAAAGCAGAGGGAATACGGTGTTTTAAAGTGTTTCTCTAGCACATTTTAAATTAAACACAGTCTTTGCTGTGCAGGGGCCTGGTGGGGATAAACACTGTTCCTGAACTGTTTTCTAACCCACTGTGGACCCTTCAGCATCAGGAAGAACTAGGTAGCAACAAGGAAATTCAGCTGTTTCCTGGTCCCCAACTCAGAGCCAGCAAAATGGAGGAGCGGGAGAATTTTGTCTCCAGTGCAGGGGCCTCCCTGGCTTCCTTCCCTCATGCTGGCTTCCTTCCCCATGACTCAAGAGTCAGCAGTCTGTTTTTGTATGGCCTGTGAGCCAAGAATGGTTTTTACATTTTTAAATCATTAGAGGGAAAGGGAATCAAAAGAAGAAGATTTTGTGATATATAAAAATCAAATTTCAGTGTCCATAAGTTTTATTGGAACGCAGCCACGCCATTTATATGGTGTCTGTGGCTGCTTTATAACTACATCAGCGGTGATACCATATGCAAAGAGTAAGTATTTACTATCCGGCTCTTTATAGAAGACATTTAAACATTTGGGACCCCTGCCTGACCTTCTGCTCCTGGAGCTGTCCTTCACACTGAGGTGCAAATGACTGATAACAGCTTAAAGTGCTAACTTCTCTTTACCTTTCAGAGGCAATTTTGGATTGCAATAGGGAAAAAACTTATGAAGGAGGTAAAGCCTGAAGAGTTAAAAGGGGGATGTGGGGGAACCCCAGGGGTTGAAGAAACGTGTTTTGGAGCAGAGAATTTCCCCTAAACCCTGAAGTTTTGCTCTCAGATACGTCACATACCAGAAGTTCTCACTGGGTGGTGTCTGCACTGCAGATGGAATAAGGAATTTTCATCACACACATAAGTATTGCCTCTTCCTCTGTCCCCAAGTTTACCCATTAACAGTTTCTTCACCTGCTGCCTCTGCTTGCCAATCATGTGGATGTCATTTTTTAAAATTGATTATCTTTATGCTTCATGATGAAAGTAGCAGAAACCTTTGCACTTCAAAGGATTATTAGACGTCGAGCGCGGTGGCTCACGCCTGTAATCCCAGTACTTTGGGAGGCTGCGGCAGGTGGATCACTTGGGGTCAGGAGTTCAAGACCAGCCTAGACAAGATGGTTAAACCCCATCTCTACTTAAAAAAAAAAAAATACAAAAATTAGCTGGGTGCAGTGGCAGGCACCTGTAATCCCAGCTACTTGGGA